CCAGCCCCCCCCCCCCCACCTCAGAATCAAATGGTCGTCCCCTAAATGGTGTTGCCGTGGTTACTAAAATTAGAAATTCTGTGAAATTCTTTCAAAATGCTACTCCTCCTACAGTTTTGGTCTGATTTCAATATAACTTGGCACACAAGTCGACTGCACTAAGATACATATTTCTTTGTACAGGTTTTACATTTCGATGAACGGTGTTGACGTGGTTACTAAAAATACAAATTTCTGTGAAATTTCTTTCAAAATACTGCTCCTCCTACAGTTTTGGTCTGATTTCAATATATCTTGGCACACAAGTAGACTACACAAAGATACAAAATTGTGTGGATAGGTTTTTGATTTCGATGAATTTTTGCTGTGGTTACTAAAAATAGAAATGTCTGTAGAATTGTTTCGAAATGCTACTCCTCCTACAGTTTTGGTCTGATTTCAATATAACTATAGAACATAAAGAGACTTTATCAAGGATCATTATTCTATTTATTGCTGTTGTAAAGTTTCAATTCCCAACTGCTAAGTATTTTTCTTTTCCTTTGCTATCAGTACAAACCAGTAAAGCTTCAGTCTCGACAGAGACTTCTGGTTAAAAGATATTTTATGTCGTCATAATAATATAACTGATAAATTTATATTTTTTTCAAAGGCAACTTAACTTCCCGTCAGGAACTTCTGTTTGTCAATAAGGTTTTTGATCTATGTTTTCCTTGTAAGGATTTTTGTAATAAAATATTCAATCAATCTTATTCATTTTTATACATTTTCTATGTAATGACGTACTTTTCTTGTGTAAGATAATATGTGCCTATTACGGATTAATGGCTTGGTCTAGCGAGTAGTGAATTTCTTTCATAGAATTTTTGTAAACGTGTACTTAGATTTTCATTGAATTCCTTCTCTGGGTCAACATTTTCATTTTCATACAAAATATTACCTCCGTAATTATTTTATACCTAATGGATTTCGAACAGTTTACATCTTCTCTGTCGAAAATGGGTATGCATTCATACATGCAAGAAATCACACTCAGTTGACATTAAAGTTCGCTTTACTAAAGCGATAATTTTTGTAGATGTAATGAAAGCCAATAACAAGAATAAAGGACCGAGTTCCAAGAATCCTTTTCATTTATATAATACATGTATAAGATATTCAAACATACTCAGCTTCCAATATGCGTGCAAAAAGTTAATCCAATTTCTCATTCATCTTTTAATGATTCGCTCAAAAGATTTTTAATATTATGAAGAATCCATGATTTCGCAATTTCAGACAATGTGTTTGGGAAATCTTTTAAGAGAAATCGAAAGAATGTCCGTAGATTCATTTAGTTTCAAACACGGGCATAAGAATCTTTTCTTTTCTACTAACAAAATTAGTAATATAAAAAGATCTCACATAGAATATAACCAAATTGACAGTGAAATACTTATATAAATCGATTTCTTTATTTATGTTTTCGTTTAAAGTTATCATTTAGTAAGTTCTATGCCGACATGACTCGGATTCCAACAAAAGTTAACTGTTTTACCTTGTGCGGAATAATTCTGAATTGATATATCTAAAATGTAAGGCAATATTAATTCTTATTTTGATAGATTGTAAGCAAGAAAGCCAGTCCAAAAATTGTAAAGAGCCATAGCTGCCTTACCGACGACACGGCCGACTCAAGTATTTAAATAGTTAAGGACTGTTTTTTCCCGAGATACTTTCAAAGTTTAATGTTGTATTATATATCTCTTACATTATTTATACATATATTATAAAATAATAAGGAAAATGCACAGAGAAAAAAAATAATAAAAGCAAGATAAGAAACACGCCATTTCTCAATTCCCACCAACATTTTATCCCCATTTGTATTCACCATATATGGTATTTTAACCATTGTAACTTTTTTTATTGTTAAAAAAAAATAGTTCTTTAGAAATTGATTAATATATTAAATTTGCGTCAAAAAGGTAATTCCCTTTTAAAAATCTTTTCATGAGGTTGGAACAGAGTTTTAACCATTAAAATCATCAGCACAATTTAAAATATGCACAGAAATGGCTCATTTCGTATTACCCTAAAATCTTTCCTTATTTCAAAATTAAGTAAAATTCAAATAATAAATATCCATATTTAATATTTTCTCTTTCATTACAAATTGGTCATTAAAGACCATTTTTACTGGGTTTTTTTCGTGTGTACAAACATGCTCACTTCCCTTTGAAACACAGAATGCTTTGTCATAAATATGTGAAATAACAATCCATATTTCCTGTAAAAAGGCTTTATTTTCGGGGGTTGTGTGTGTTCAAAAAACATATTCCGTTCATGCACACGTTTTAGTTTTTAGCTCACCTGAGCCGAAGGCTCAAGTGAGCTTTTCTGATCAAAATTTGTCCGTTGTCTGTCGTTGTTGTTGTTGTCGTCGTAAACTTTTCACATTTTCATCTTCTTCTCAAGAACCACTGGGCCAATTTCAACCAAACTTGGCACAAAGTATCCTTGGGTGAAGGGAATTCAAGTTTATTCAAAGGAAGGGCCACGCCCTTTTCCAAGGGGAGATAATTATGAATTTATTAAAAATTAATGGCATTTTTAAAAAATCTTCTTCTCCAGAACCGCTGGGCCAGGAAAGATCAAACTCATGTGGAAGCATCCTCAGGTAGTGTAAATTCAAGTTTGTTCAAATCATGACCCCCCGGGCAAGGGTGGGGCCAAAATGGCCGACCCAAGTTTTACATAGGAATATATAGGAAAAATCTTTAAAAATCTTCTTCTCAAGAACCACTGAGCCAGGAAAGATGAAACTCATGTGGAATCACCCTCAAGTAGTGTAGATTCAAGTTTGTTCAAATCATGACCCCTGGGGCAAGGGTGGGGCCAAAATGGCCGACCCAAGTTTAACATAGGAATATATAAGAAAAATCTTTAAAAATCTTCTTCTCAAGAACCACTGGGCCAGGAAAAATGAAACTCATGTGGAATCATCCTCAGGTAGTGTAGATTCAAGTTTGTTCAAATCATGACCCCTGGGGCAAGGGTGGGGCCAAAATGGCCGACACAAGTTTAACATAGGAATATATAAGAAAAATCTTTAAAAATCTTCTTCTCAAGAACCACTGAGCCAGGAAAGATGAAACTCATGTGGAATCATCCTCAGGTAGTGTATATTCAAGTTTGTTCAAATCATGACCCCTGGGGCAAGGGTGGGGCCAAAATGGCCGACCCAAGTTTAACATAGGAATATATAAGAAAAATCTTTAAAAATCTTCTTCTCAAGAACCACTGGGCCAGGAAAAATGAAACTCATATGGAAGCATCCTCAGGTAGTGTAGATTCAAGTTTGTTCAAATCATGACCCCTGGGGCAAGGGTGGCGCCAAAATGGCCGACCCTAGTTTTACATAGGAATATAATAGAAAAATCTTTAAAAATCTTCTTCTCCAGAACCACTGAGCCAGGAAAGATGAAACTCATGTGGAATCATCCTCAGGTAGTGTAGATTCAAGTTTGTTCAAATCATGACCCCTGGGGTAATGGTGAGGCCAAAATGGCCGACCCGAGTTTTACATAGGAATATATAGGAAATATCTTTAAAAATCTTCTTCTCCAGAACCACTGGGCCAGGAAAGATCAAACTCATGTGGAATCATCCTCAGGTAGTGTAGATTCAAGTTTGTTCAAATCATGACCCCTGGGGCAAGGGTGGGGCCAAAATGGCCAACCAAAGTTTTACATAGGGATATGTAGAGAAATCTTTTAAAATCTTCTTTTCAAGTACTTCAAAGCTATGATTAGTGATATTTATATGGAATCATCCTCAGGTAGTGTAGATTCTAGTTTGTTCAAATGATGAACGCCTGGGGGGGGGGGGGGGGGGCGCCGGGTGTGCTCAGGTGAGCGCTGTGGCCCCTGGGCCTCTTGTTTTTATTTCCCAAATAAGGAATGTTTGATGAACATCCATTTAATCATACACATCTATATACGAGGGCCCCCTCCCAAAATAAAAAGAACACAAAACATTTTCAATATCTTTTGTTTCACGGAGACTATATATAGTTACAAATTACCATACAGCATGATCAATATTTTTCAGAAAATGCCTGAATGAAATATCTTCATAAATAAGAGTTTCCTCTCGATTGATTGAATATTGTATAACTTCCCTCTCGAGAATTTTTCACTCGAATCTAAAAAATCAGCTGTTTAGCGCAACATTGATCAATGTCAAAACGTAGCTCTAAGGGTTTTGAAATTTGTTCATGAAACTATAGCTGTAATAGAATTCATGTAAGCATAAAGTCGACATTGTATTTAAGTTTATATTTTTTAGTTACTGAGTTGCACATTAAATATCAAATACTATTGTTTCCAAAAGATTGCAAAGTAAATACATTTCAAATTCCGATCATAAACTCAACTGAACGAATTATTTAATATTGGTCTTAACGTAGGCTTTGGATGTTCTGCTCCTGTATTTTCATTTGTCGCCCGCGTGACGCAGTGGTTACAGCGTCTGCTCTAGAGTCGCGAAGTAAGGAGTTGATTCTTACGTCGCGGGTTCGAATCCCACTGTGCTACGTGGAGATCGATTCTTCGGATGAGACCGTTAAACCGAGGTCCCAATGGCCCTGAGTGCCGAGTATAGTACAATTTGCAGCTCTCCACCGGCAAGTCGTGGCGTCTCCATATGAGTAAAAGATTCTAGAGAAAGACATTAAACAATGTCTAAAGAAACAAGAACGAAGATTTTATATTGAGTGGAATAATATTTGTAACAAATCATAATAACTATCATTGCATTTCTTTTAATTGGTTATATTCTTCAAATGCCTTGTATATCCAATATAAACAAAAAATCCAGAGTTCTAATTGGTCAGATTACTATGTAGATATTTCACTATCAATTAGCGAGTCAACCAATTCATTTGCTTCTGAATGTCTTTATTAATTTGCTTATGTATAAAAGAGAATGCTTGCGATAATTTTCAAATATCCTCAAACATGAGAAGCCGCATTAAATGTAGCATCGTAGGTGAAACAATGGTGGGAAAGACAACATTGCTAAAATCGTACGTCACGTGTAAGGCACCAGCAATATACTCCCCAACAATTTACGAAAATATCAAAGGTATGCGTTAATATAAGGTCAAATGTTCAATTCCTTTTCAAAGAATCCTTTTGATTGTTGTCAAATAGGTTTTGTCTTATGTATTTCTTTTCTTATGTTTACCTTATTTTACTTTTAGGCTTTGTTGTTCTTGGACACAAGCATCATAAGGTTAATCTAGTGGATACAGCTGGACAGGTATTTTACCTTTCTTATTTCACAAGTTGAATTAAAAAAAATAATAAAAGGGAAAAAAAAGCATCAATGCTTCATTTTATTCAGTTTTGACAGTTGTTTCATTAATTGATTTGATGTACTATTTTAATTTTTCAGCATGAATATTCAAAACTCTGTACAGCATCCTACTGCAAGAGTAAAGTAATCATCCTCTGCTATAGTGTTATAGACAGACCGTCATTTGATCGAATAAAGTCATTCTGGATACCAGAAATTCGAAAAAATGTTGGAAAAAGTATACCGATAGTGTTGACTGCTACCCACACTGATCTTCGTAGTGACAAGTCAATTCAGAGGTGTATTCAGGTTGTGTCTTCTACTGAGGGAAGGACATTAGCCGATTCTATAGGTGCCAAGGGATTCTTTGAAATTTCAAAGTCGGACATTAGCCAAACCAATGACATTTTTGAATGTGCTGTGAGAGCTGTTATCAGTAAGAAAAAGACACTTTTTACTATTTTAAAGAAAATCTTTTGCAGTACTTGTAAAAATAAAAATGAATAATATTTTGTGTCGGAATTCATTTTTATTCAAATAAATCAGCGAGTACATGTGATGAAATATATCCAATTAAATGAATGCAAGAAAACGTTTACATCAGAAATATAAATATTAATGTTCATAAAATGGCAGAAATGTACTTTTTTAATTAAATTGGCAAAAATGTACTTTTTTAAAATTAAAATCTTGGCCTACTTTTTTCCACCCCATAAAGAAGAATCTAAATATGTCCTCGATTACCCAGGAAATAACTATACATGTAAATCTTACCCCCCTTTCAGAATCAAACGGTTATCTCTTAACCACCTTGTCATGTTTACCATAATAATGCCTTTGAAAACAATAGCAAGGTATTTTGCACTTGTTTACCGTTCTGAACATTATTTATTTCACCTTAAGGACAGGTTATAATGTTAAATTAAGAGAAGAAAGAACTCGAGGGCCTTAGGCTTTTTCCCTCTCAAGACATTCCCTTTCTTCAGAGAATTTTTTAAATGTACAAAATAAAACAGGTAGCGCACATACAATGACACGTTCACTGTTTACAGAATGGACAGTTACATGTGTGAGCTTGGGGTGCACAACATTTTGTTGAATAATCATCGTGTTTCCAGATGCTAACAAAAGGTCTTTGTCGAAAGAATGCACAGTTATACGTGGATTTCGGGGGATGCTAGTATATATATAAAACAATGTGATTACTCAAAATATGTAGTTTATCTTTTGTTTGCGTTTAAGGGTTAAACATGTTTCTCCAATGGAGAGAATATATGACAGAATTGAAATCAAATTGAAACCAAAAGATGTGTGGCGGTCAGCCGGGTTTGATCGCCGTTGGTCAGATACCTCAGTTGGTAGAGCACCTGAACGGAGTTTCAGGGGGCCCGGGTTCGAGTCCCGGTCTGGTCCGCTGCATTTCCTCCTCTCCCGTTACATTTGATGTCGTGCCATGCTCTGGAACTGACAGGTGAGAGGCTTGCCAAGGATGAGCATGGGTCGGGGACTTGGGGGGGGGGGGGGGGCAAAACCCTTTAAGGAAGGAGGAATGTGGCGGTCAGCCGGGTTCGATTGCCGGTGGCCAAATACCTCAATTGGTAGAGCATCTGACCGGAGTTTCAGGGGGCCGTTCTGGTCCGTTGCATTTTCTCCTCTCCCGTTACAGATGCACAAAACCAGTTATATACGAACCTTGAAATAGAGGTAGTGAGCTTTGAATGTTACCTGTACCTGTCCAATAACTTTAATCGTATTGGACACTTACACGTAACTTATTGGACGGAGTGCAGGACAATAAAAATGTATTGAACCGGGTGTAACAAAGGATTACGCCACAAAAATGGACATCACAAACAAAAGATTTACGTCACAGGCATTTTAACTACAATGAAACCTTGTGTGTTATCTTTGTACACAGCACATACTCTTCCATGAACAATAATACTGTCCAATCACCGAATGAATAGCAAAGTACATGTATGTTTATCGATGTTTACTTTCTTTTTCGAACACCTGCACGTGGACAGGTTATTGAAGGCAATTTATTGTGATTTATTAGTTGGCATTTAAAATAACAATTTTGAAATATTACAAACAAAATCAGAAAACAATTTTGTTCTGATTGTTGACGTTATATAATAGTCATTTATGCAATAAATCCATATTTTACAATCCATTTTACCGGCTCCGCTTACGCGTCGCCGATAAAACTCAGTTTCCGACCGTTAAATCAGCATTAACGGTCGCAAATGTTAAGTTAGAAGACAGTTATTCCCTAAATTTAAAAGAAAAAACAATATAACAACATAATATAACAACTACATAAAAATCCTTTGCAAGCGCGGAGGAATTGATTTTTTTTTACTGCTAACAGAACTATTCCAAAAATTATTTTCACTTTCAGTTTCTATTGAGGTAAATAATAAAAATGTTTATGTATACGAAATGAATCCGAATCTTAATTGGATCTGAATCTGAGAGATCTCGATCCCGATTTGAAAACTGGAAAAGACACAAGCACAAGAAAATGGGGCAAAATTTATTGATCTGTGGTATTCTCTTTTAGGACAGTTCTTCTAAAATGGCGCTTTTCACTGACTTCTGTTTCCAAAATGTCATTAAAAAATAGCCAGGGTAAAAAAAATAAATTGCCTGAGATTTTTTAACCAAAAAAGGGAAATAAATCTCCGCAGTCCTCTTTCATTATTGAATTTCTACAAATGTTATAAAGCAACTTTATTTTCATATGTTGTACTGTCATCTATGTCATTGCCTATTATACTAACTATGATTTTACTTAATATATTTAAAACTTTAAAAAAGAGCACCGCTAAGCGGAGCATCCCCTCGCGACGGGAACCTCACCTGTAAAATATCAAGAGGGGTGTTAAAAATAAATTGTAATGTAACAATGTATGTCTTTGAACATCCCTCACTCACATGGAGACGCCCTTACTTGCCGATTGAGAGCTGTAAATTTTGTCTAATACTCGGTCCTTTGGATGAAGCCGTATAAACCGAGGCCCATGTCGCAGTAAGTGCTGGCAGGAAATAGTTCCATCCTTGCTCACATGCTTTGGTTGCTGAGTTTAGGACAAAATTTGCAGCTTTCAAATGTCAAGTAGTGGTGTCTCTATGTAAGTTATAAATTCTCGAGAGGGGCGTTAAACAATACAAAATCTTCCTTGATTATAAGTACAAACCAGTAGAGCTACAGTCTTAACGGGGACTTCTGGATTTCAAGAGTACTTTCCACGATCTCCAACTCCTCCACTAGCAATAAAAACGACTGACCCACAATGGTTCAGTAGATGAGAATATCAGTAACAGAGTAACAGATTGTCTTGCCGAGCCATCTGTCCCATTAAGACTAAGTCAGAATGCTGATGGGGACCATGAGAGGGTATATTTGGACAAATTATTTGAAATTGAGTGCGGCTGCAATAAAATCTGTTTCTGATATATAGTTTCCTACAAAGAGCATGCATATCAGCTTCTGTTAAGACTACTTGTGTTCAACAAATGTGAAAGGAATATATATATCCTGTCTAAGGTCGAAGATCAGAAGGATGGATCTGTCAGCTCATACGGAAATAAAGGTGAATGTCATCCATTGGCGATCTATTTTCAAAATTGGACGCTCAAAGTATAAAAGTTTGAAGAAACATTTCTAAAAGAAAACAGCATCACCCAAAAGTGCATGGATTGACTTCAAGTAAGTCAAACCATGGTCATTCCTTTTATTAAAGCAGAAGTCCTGTTTATCAATAGATACGCGGACCAATTTGATTTGTCCTTTATACCTGCTGCCCCACGAGCACGCGATAACACACCACCCGTGCTTCTGCGAGAGCAAAGTAGTGGTTTATGCAAAGTATAAAGATGCCAAAGATGCTTGTCTGGAATTCATTAGTCCGTACGTTGAGCTAACTACACTCTAAGAAGCCTGGATTGCATGCGTGTTTATGAAACCCAAAATAGACTTGTTTAAGACCTACCATGACCTCTGCGAAGATATTTCTGGGGCATTATACGAGGATACACTGTTGGAACTCGCACAACGTCTGATTGATAAAGCCAAACACCCCATGGAATGAGAGATATCTGCAGTAATGTTTTGTACCCTACGAAAATGTTAATTATACGTTTATTTTTCGCACTATGTGACCATCCCTATTCTTCGTAACAAGTCGGACCACTGTTTTTTCAACAAAACAAGATATTTAGAGTATTTGATGAAAACTTTCCTCTCTAAACCAAGCACCCTGGTACCTCATGATTAAAATGAAACTTTTGGTGAAAAGTAAAATTTATGGTCCAAATTCTATATTGATTATGTTGCATCACTACATCGATGCCAACAGATACAGCGAAGCAGTCTGCAATCTCAACGCCGATAACTGTGCTGGACAAAACGAAGAAACTCTACACTACCTTGCTTAGCAATGCTTAAACGGACTCCACAGAAAAAAAAATTACATTTTATGATTGCTGGTCATATGTAATGCCAATGTGACTCATGCTTTGGTAGGCTCAAGAAGAAATGCTGAAGATTAGTGAACAGCATTGAACAGTTGGAACAAGTTGTAGAACAACCTGCAAAAACACTACGACAGCCAGATGAGGAAACTTTCTGTGGTTAAAGCGGACGCGTTCTTCAATGCGTCCTGTAAACCGATGAAAGGGATCGGGAAATATTAACGTTTTATGTTCATTGACGAGGAACCAGGCACAGTGCACGCAAAGCAAACGCTTGGTGCCACCAAGGTCAAAATTCAGCTTTGTTAATAAAAGGTCGACTTAGGCAGACAACGTAGGGAATTTTCGAATTTTGCCTGGTGGGCTCTTTTGCGAGATGAGGCCTTACGCAAAAGCGTTCTATAAAAACGCCACATGTCCTGCTCCTTACGAAGAGTAAATGATGATAATGAAATGGTTGCTTGTCGAATTGTTCGTATTTCTGTCTGTCTGCGACAATTTCGTTTCCATGCGACATCTGGAGAACCCTTTGAGCTTTCGCAATGAAATGTTGCATAGCAACTCCTAATGGCCTAATGAACCCTTTTGATTTTGAGATCAAAAGTCAAGGTCATAATTTAATCAATTCTGTCTGTTTTTAAACCTTCTTTTCTGCTCGAGAATCCTATGAGCATTTGCAGTGAAATTTTACATAACTCTCTGTGGCCTGAGGAAAACCACTATTAATATTCAGGGTAAAGTTAAAGGTTTATATTTATACATTCCGTCTGTGTGTAACACTTTCGTTTCTGGGCGATATCTCGAGAAGCGTTTGAGCTTTTGCATTAAGACATTTTATACCTTAATTCCTTTAACATGTTATGTTAATTCGTTTTGTTAATACGAATCGCATTTGTACGTTTAAGTATGTTTTCGTTTTGTCGAATGAAATCGCAGTTTTGATTATCGTTCATGGCTGTAGTTCTTGTCAACGTCAGTCTGCTAAATGGCCGTGTGATGCGTACAGTGTGTTTGCC